AAAATACTGGAGCTAATCAATTAATAATCAGATCCAATGGAATTTATACAATTAGCACCTAGAATCTGATCGATATTTCTTTGGTATTGGGTCCCTGTTGTTTATGTGGCATCGTTTTGTTTTTTCTTTGATAGGTAAAGAAAACTAAATACTAACAAAAGGAAACAAGATGTTTAATACAAGAGGGAGGGCTGTCCCAAGTAACAATATCTCTGTAAATTTCACAAATGAGAATGGTTCAAGAAGGGATTTGATACGATACTAACATTCCTATTACAGGTATCCCAGGATACAGAAGGGAAAACGGAAAATCTCCCCCAACAACCTATGCTATTGAGAGAGTTTTTGAGAATGCTACATTATTATGAGAGTGAGTAAATTTGTAATTACTCCCTAATTTATTTTGACAAAAAAAAAAAAAGAGAAACATGAGCGTGAATGGGTGAATCAATGCAAACGTGCCCAATTCAAAAATTCTCTCAACAGCATAAGCTGTTAGCCCCCAACAGTCAAAGTTATCCTCCAAAAATTCTGTTATTGACTTGGCATCAGAGAATTAGAATCCAATTCTGATGTCTTTCTTTAGGCTTAATTTGAAAAGAGTACAAATACAAATACATATAAAATACATAGTTTTGCATTTTACATATTTGTATTTCTTCTCCTTCCAACTGAGCCATAGCCAAATCCAAAGCAGAGTAAATTACAAAAAATTCTGCTATCATAGACATCATAAATTCACAATATTATGTGAGAAGCTCTCAATTTCCTCTATTCGCATGGCATTCCCGTTTTCACCTTTAACTAGGTATTTTGAGACATATTAGGTGAACAAGAGTATTTACTGAAAGCAAAAACACTACAAACATTCTGAAAACATATGCATCCAATTGCACCTTGGGAACATCTCCCATGAATAATTTATCACACATCTCCCATGAATAATTTATCACACATAATGTACAGTTAGATGCCATGCTCTCAAAATTTTCATTTTCAGGATATTTGGGCTCCATGTTATCATCACCTATCCATTACTTTTTAATTTTCTCTTTTAGCTAAAAAAATGATCTACTATGGCAAACCAGTCAGTCGAACCAGTGTTTTCAGGATATATGGGCTTCATTTTTAAGATATTCCCAGTGTTTTTAACCCGATGTTGACCTAGTCGGTCGAATCGTTTGAACTGTCACCCAGTCAAGATTTTGGGTCTGGTTCAGTCAAGACATGTCAGACAGTAAAAAACTGTTTGATCCGGCTGATTCAACCGTTGACTGGTTCAATCTGGTCACCGGGTTTTGGGTTGCACACAATGTATACAAATTTTCGGAAGCCACAACTTTGTACTCTGATGTCCGATTGTGGTGATTTTATTTTTAAATTTTGGGTAACTTTTCGAGATCTATGCATCCCAAGGGGGCTGTAGGCGTAGAGGTGTAAAACGGGTCGTGCCTTGGTCTAGACCGGGCCAAAGCTATTTATTTAAAAAATTTGAAAAAAACTTAAAATTTTTATTTTATATGAATTTTGATGTATACAATTGCTTATATATACAATAATTAAATAAATTAGTATAATAAAATTGAAAAAAAATTATTTATTTTATTAATATATTATATACTATATATTATTGTATAATTATAATTTATATAATATATTATAATATATAAAATATATAGATGTTATGTATATATATAAATAGTACATATGGGCCTATCCGGGCCGCGGGCCACAGACGGAATGGCTTGCTTGATCATGTCGTGCCGTGTCAGCCTGTGGACTTAAAACCCTTGGCCTAGCATAGCACGGACCATCGTGCCAGGCCTGGCATGACCCATGGGCTGTCGTGTCGTGTCGTGTCGTGCCAGTCCAAAATCGTACAAAGTTTAATCTCCAATAAGTTTAATAAGTACTAAAAATATATTTAGTCAATAAATAGTATAATTTCAAATAATAGTTTAATCTCTAATATTAATCAATAACTTATAACAAAAATGCAATAAGTACAATAAATTAAGTTTAAAATTTCAATAATAGTAATTTAATCTCCAATAATTATTGAAAGTTTTCTGTTAAATAACAAAACAAAATAAATTTATACATNTGAATTTTGATGTATACAATTGCTTATATATACAATAATTAAATAAATTAGTATAATAAAATTGAAAAAAAATTATTTATTTTATTAATATATTACATACTATATATTATTATATAATTATAATTTATATAAATATATTATATATTATATTTAAATATATATAAAACATATATAAATAATATATATGGGCCGTGTTGGGGGCCCGCTCAGTCATATAGTGCCGGCCTGGCCCACAGACCTAAAACCCCAGGCCTAGCATAGCCCATACAATTGTGCCTGGCCGGTCCAAAGTCGAGCTGGGTCGTGTCGGGTTGTGGGCGGCACGACCTGATTTACACCTCTACATAGGCACCTTGCCCCGTTATTTTCACAAAAAACCCCTTTTGGCCTTAAATTGTAATTTTAATATTTTTTATAAATAAAAAAAAATTAAGAATTGAGTTAGAAATATAAATTAAATAGAAAAAATACATATAACCTATCTAAAACATATTTATACATTTTTTATTGATAAAATATATATTTGTACACATATATGCATATATACATACATATATATGATGACATGGCATGGTATGAACTGTTCGACCAAGCCGGTCGAACTGGTGACCCATAACCCAGAGGCAAAAACGGTTTAGTTTCGGGGTCGGTTTTTAAAACATTAATGTAAACAGTCTCAGCATGGGGAAACTTGGGCTGGGTTAGGTCATCCCTAGGAATGGCAACGGGGCGGGGCAGGGGTGTGGAAATCCCCATCCCCGTCCCCGTCCTCGCTAACGGGGACAAGGTTATCCCCATCCCCATCCCTGCAGGGATCCCCATTCCCCATGATTTTTTATAATGTTAACCATTTTATTTTTGTTTTTTATTTTATTTATAAATAAAAATAAAATAATTAAAAATTACAAAGATTCAAATATTCAACCGTGTTTTTAAAAATATTAATATATAGATATATGTATACACGTATACATATATAACGTATGCATACATATATACATATATTAGTGGGGATCCCACAGGGTGGGGAGTACTCTCTCTGTCCCTACTAACAGGGATAGAAATTTCCCCATCCCCATCCCCACAGGGAGAAAATCATCCCCACCTCATTTAGGGAGAATCCTTACAAAGATAAAAAAAATGAGAAAAATTGTCATTCCTAATCATCCCCAACCTAAACTGAATTATTGAACTCCCAAACCAAATCCTAAGCCAGACGGATGACTTTTGATCAGGTTTAGGTTGACCTGGCTTCATTTTATTTTAAAATCTCCTTATTCCTTAGACTTAAGATTGATGGATTAAGGCCACACTAGCATTATAATAATTATGATGATTTGAAGTATTATAATTTATAATCTCATCATGCTAGAAATTTTTTGATTTTAAACTTACAATTGTTGATCCATATGTGGATACGTATATTGATGCATGCATAATTACATGCATACATGCACAAATATGCACATGTGCATATATTCATATATTAATATGATATTTACTCATACGTACTGATACAAAGACATAATGGGATGGAGTTGGATTAGGTTGCCCAAGACATCAATCGTAACCCAACCTCAAATCAAATTGGATTCATATTTTTCAATCATAATCTTAAACGTAACACAAACTTCAATCAAACCCAAATCCCCATCTTAAATCCAATGGAGGGTATGTAGAATCAATAAGTCGTAATTTTAGGGAAAACTAGTAATACATTTAAGAAGAGGTTTAGAAATATAAATATGGATCATATACAAAGTTTTGCATTGGTATTTGCATTCTTGGCAAATGGAACATAGGCTGCATTTGGAAAAGATGCAAATAAGTGTGAATGTAAATATGTAGAGTGTAAAACGGTTGATATAAATTGTAAAATTAGGTTAATTTTGTATAACAAATTTATCTTCTTACCAAACAACCTTTTAGCTGTAATGGATGCAAACATGAATTCCAATAAAATATATGTTTTTTTTATCAAAAGCCCACTTGAATTCAAATTTACTTCTTTTTTATTGATGTATTTTTACATCTTATTATCAATATAAATATGCATTGATCTATCATTTGTCAATACATAAATGTAGTATTGCCAAATACAAATAAAAATAAACCAGAATGCAAATTTACCCTAAACCAGAATTTACACTCCATTTGCATTATTTACAAACGCAGCGTAGAAACATCTTCTATATTTGAGTGTTACCATTAATGTGGAGAGGTTCTCTCGTGGGAGCAGTAGCACTCGTGTATTTCTCAACTATTATTACTTTTCCATGTTAATCACTTAAGCTAAGTTAGGAAATGATTTGTAGACTTATATAAGAAACATGATTCACTTTTCATTCATTGTTTCACGTGTGGCTAACCAAAACAGGTCCAAATATTTTTTTCCCTATGAAATGGATAGAAAGTTTACTAAAGTTATTGGAAGTCTATGATAGGGGAAGGACATGAAGGCTGATTCTTTGACCAATTAAACCGCCAACCTGAATGCTTATAAGTTTTTCTAATATCATGTACTTTTCGCATTATACTTGAAATTTAATTTTTTCTGTTAAGGTTTCTCTAGTAATAAAGACATTACGTTTTTACCTTTCATCAACTTGTGGCTGTAGTTTAGTGGTAAGAATTCTACGTTGTGGCCGTAGAGACCTGGGCTCGAATCCCAGCAGCCACAATTGTCCTGTATTTTGGTTTTTCAGTTTTTTAAGATTTTAAACCAAACAGGTCGGTGTGAGGCGCCCCTGTGTGAGGAGCAGATCCGGTCTCGTCTCACACCTACTTCTTACTTCTTACACACACTAGATAGACGATAGAGATCAATTAGCTCTTTCGATCAAACAAACAAAGCACATCGTTACATCAGAATCGTGCATATCGAATTTTTCATATTCCTTGTTTATCAGTTAAAACCCTCGAAGAAGTATAAGAAGTATAGAAACCCTTTCCTCGATTCCATTGAACCCTTCCTCTGCTACAAGCGTCAAACCTACAATCTCTTACTTCGGAGTTCGGAGGCTTCTCAGCTGAGCTCAGAGCGACAGAGAGATGGGGAGCGATAGTGAGACAGAGAAATCACAAAAGGAGAGGAAGAAGTTGCTGGCACTCGCTCCCATAGCGAAACCGCTTGCAGGGAAGAAGCTGTGCAAGAGAACTCTCAAGCTGGTCAGAAGAGGCATGGACTGCTTACTTCAATGCTTTGTGTCTCTGGTTTTCCTTTAATGCCCTTTCTTTTCTTTCGGTTGGTGGCGGAAACTCTGCGTTGGGTTCATTGTTCATGCATTTTTGTAATCGATCACTGGAGTTATTCTTTCGCACTTCCCTGTAATTAAATTAAATCGTTGGTTTTATTTAATTTTCTGCATCACGAGGAAAAAGAAGTTACTTTCTTCACCTTAGTCATGTCTTTCCTCTATTATATCTTGTTATTTAACTATCTCTTTTGTCTAATGAAAATATGGGGCTTAAAAAACATACTCGTCTTTGATGGTATAGACGTATAGTGCTGGATTTATTCTTTTCTTTTCTTTTTTTTTTTTTTTGACATGTAAGCTTCTGTTTTCTTGGGTTATTTTCTTTGTTTATACACTTCCAATTTGATGTAACAATGATTCATTGAGTATATATTTTCCCTTTGGAGCAACCCTGATACCAGGTTTTGGTTTCCCGGAATTATTCTTAATCTGCTAACTGAGAGTTCCACCTTCCTTGGTTATTTGTTGTGAGTTGTAACTGTTCTGGTTTTTTTTTCCCTCCATTTTCAGCTTCTGAATCTAAATGCGTGAAGAGAGGAGTTAAGGAGGTGGTTAAGAGTATTCGGCGCGGTAACAAAGGGTATGCCTTATTATATTGCCGGAATAATTTCTTTTCGAATTTTGTTTTCTAACAGTCAAGTGCCTTCTTTGTTTCAATGGTTAATGCGAAAATTGCTAAACATATTAATACTATGTATAAGTGACAATCAAGATGGTTCTCAACCAACGCGCGCTGAACCGCAATCACCATGTATTGTAGAGTCTTTTCATTTTGTTACTAATGGACCGTATGGAATGCCGCTAGATATCCAATTTTTGATATTCCCTGTATACCCAAATTTTGTTTTTACCTTATTTCTTTGTTTGATTGGTAATTTACTGGATATTTTGTTGTCAATCCTAATTGAATTTTGAAAATTTAAAACCAAACAATGTGATCCACAGTTCATACATGCTAATCTATATGAAATACGTAAGTCTGTGGATGTCCCTATGGTTCATGGCAACATGACCCCTTGCATTGTTGGGAATATGATTGAACCTTGTATTAGTTATAGTGCCTAAACAAAAGAACCATCTTGTGGAGACCCATGTCTATCACTTCTTCTCAAATAGCTTGGCTTTTGGGTCAAAGCAAGGCATGGGTGCTACACCAAGAGCTTTATGTTGAAGCCACCCTTTGAACGTGGCCACCAGAAGAAGGATAAGGATAAGTGGATGAACTGAATGACTTATTGCTTTGTCTTTTAGGGAAAAAATAGTTAAATAATAAATATTTGTGGTTATAATAATCAACCCAATTTCAGTTCCAGCCATTAAGGACAGGGGTTCATAACCTACTTAATAACTTGTCCACTGAAGATAAAGGAATAAGTAATTGGTTATCTTTCCTGAGAAATTTGTTCTGCTTTCCATGTCCAGGTTCCTGATTCTCAGGTTCTGCATGGTTATCTTGGAAAGATATTGAAGCCAGTAATATTTCATAGAGTCACAATTTATAAAATTAATGTAGCATAGATGAGGTTATTGGTGAAATGCTGTGAAATATTAGAAGCTAGGAGCAAACAACATGAGAACTTTAATCAGATCTTTTTCCTAATCAATATAGGCAGTATATAATTATGTAAATATTAGTAGGTACTTATGAATGCATATTGTATAGAGAGGGGACCGATTCATTTTATTCATCAAAAAAAAAAGGGGAGAACAACTCATTTTGAATTTTTCCACCAAAACTTAGAATTTGCATTATAAAAAATAATTTTCTTTGTTGTATATAGAGACATAGACTCATATGTTTTGGCCATCCTCAATAAGTCATCTACAAATTTAGACTTATACTTAAGGATTATCAAATCTGCTTGGCCTGCATTGCCCTGCCTGCCTGGCCCACTTCTGAAAACTCAGGCTTGCAAAGCCTGACCTGGCACATGCGCGCACGCACACAGGTGGGCAAGCCTGGATGCCTGGCTTGGCCCACATGTAGCCAGGCCCAGGCATGTATTTTCAGGTTAGGGTTGTGAGTGGGTCAGTGGGACCAGGCCCAGGCAGCTCAAAATGCTGTTGTAACTTTATAAAAACCTGGCTTGGCCCATGATCATTCCTACTTGTATTGCATGAAAGCTAGATAAACAAACACGTAAAACAAACTCAAATAAATAGTAATTTTGTTTTTATTCTGGTTCTGGGCCTTCTGGCAACTTAAAATTCCAAAGCTTTCTAGTGGTGCCTCCTCCCAGCTTAGCCACATGGTAAGGTGACATGCTGGATTTAGACTGTTTATCTGATAAGTGATTTTCTGAAAGTGGAGTTTGCTTTCAGTGTCAGTCTATATTTATGATCTACTGGACTTCTACCACATATGACAGTAAAATTTTGTTATACATTCTCATAAAAGGTGAGAAAGAACCTTTGTCATATCATGTGGCTTAGGGCATCTAACAGCAAAATGGTTAAATACTTTACTCTTTCACAAAAAAGGTAGATCAGCAAATAAATTTAGCCTTTATGGATTGCTATTCTGCCTCCAAATGCAAGGCAACTGGTATAGAAGCTCCTCCCAACAGGCCATCCAGAGAATTTTCCCATTGTATGTAATATGATTGAATAGTTCAATTATATCTTAATTATTTGCTTAGCTAGATATGAAAAACTGTATACAATATTGTCTTAAGATCCTTACAACTTGCGGTGCTTAATTGTTTGTAGTTCAATTTTATTTCTTTTCAAGAGATTTGATGTTCTTTATATAGGTGGAATTTTTAAAATCAGTTTTTTCCATGATATTTCATTGTGAAATTGAAAAAAAAAAGCTAACTCTTTTTTGAATACAATTTACATGCTGATCTATATTGTCTTATTAGAAATAATACAATGAATTTAAAATGCCATTCAGTAGTGAAATATAACTTAATGCTCGGTAGCACATATAATCGTATTTTAAATTCTTACATCGTTAGTTGTTTTCTATCTTTGGTGTAGCTGCAAATCTGTAATCATTATTCAAATTGGCTTTGGTTTTTGCATTAGTGATCCTTTTCCACTTTGCATTTTGCAATACATGTACTAGTATTTAAGTTTTAACAGCTTTTATATGCATTTGTGTATCGCAGGAGCAATTCCATGTTTATTGCTTGCAACCCTTTATTGTCAGTATAATATTACTACACTATCATGCTGGAACATTTTCACCTAGAATATTTAAGATTAACATGTTAATGGTGTGTTCTAGCACCTCTCTTACCTGCCAAACAGCATAACAAATTAACAATTAATATTTTTATGGTGGGTTGTCTTATACTTCTAAGTTTCCAATTAGCATTTTGTCTTGTCCAGCATATCTTTTAGAAATAATTGAAATTTCTAGACATCCCTGAGTTTATGGAATATGGATATCAATTATTTGAAAATAGTACTTGATCTGAAAGACTTACTGATAAGAAATGAATATACTTCACCAATGAAAGAAAAAGAAATATGATGACTTCTGATCAACAGAAACATGATGCTCTCTCCTTGTTCTGGTTCAATTCCTTGCTTGCTGCTGACCCAGTTATCAAAATGGTTCCTTGGCACCCCTTCAAATGGGAGGTGCGGGATCAAGCCTGTGGAATTGCGGGCTCTCTGTGGTATGGCCAGTGGGCCTCACACGCACCCTGCTCTGCCCCACCCCAATTTCCCTGTCCTGTAATGTGCAGTGTGAAATTCCCAAAATAATGTCAGTTCTTTGCTTAACAATGGTTTTTTTTTTTTTTGTTTTTTAACTTTCACCATATTCTTATGCGATGATGTAAGTGACTTTGTTTCTAGCCTTATTTTTATTTGCTTGGATCCGCTCCGCTTTGTAGATTGAAATATCGGTGTATCTTAAGCTTTTAAAGTTCATACCTGGGCGTTTCTTTGTAATATTTTATCATTCTATCCCAACCATTCGGCTCTCTTAACTGTTTGAAATGTTTTTGTTTGTTGAATGGCAGTTTATGCGTCATAGCAGGAAACATTTCTCCTATTGATGTTATCACACATGTTCCAATCTTATGTGAAGAAGCTGATATTCCATATGTATATGTTCCCTCAAAAGAGGTAAGTTGGAACATTCATCTGCCATCTCTTTATATTCTCTTTTGCACTGAGAAGTGAGAACCCATATCTGCTAAATTGCAAATTTCCAAGGCATAAATACATTATGCCTTTATTGCTACCCCCAAAGTACAGGGTGGTAATTTGTAATTTACCCTAAAATATAATTTCTTTATGCCTTGGTGACACCTGTTACTGCATCTACTGGGTTCCTCTGAAACTGTTTAATCAGTGGTTTATGTAATAGATGACACAATTTAATGTAATGGTCCTAATGGATAATAATTGGGCATGATGTGTAATCTATCAAATGGACCTCAATGTCCAAATTGTGTGCTCTCCTAACTTTTATGTGTATTATTTAGGCACCAAGTTCTACTTGATTTGGCTGCTTAGTTTTTTTTTTTTGGGCATATAGTTCTGGCCGATGCTCATTTGGGTGGTGATCCTCCAGCCAGTCTTGATGTGTGCGTTGATGCACTAGTGGGCCATGCTTATGGCAATTGATGTTCTACAAAAGTTTCCCTATGTTTTCTCCTTCCCCCAGCCCCCTCTTTTGTAAACTGTGCCACTTGCAGATATTTAGTCTTTTTGTCTATACTTTTATCCATGCTGCATCTCTAAGTTCACTTTTCTTGCTGTATTTCTCTTGTTTTGTTTTTAACCAACGTATATGCATTGTAATTTTTCATTTCATCTTGCCTAGCAGTTTGTCTCTTTTCAAATCTTTTTTCTCTCCTGAGTAAGATACACTGTTCATCTTACATTATTGCACACAACCTCAGGGGATAAAGATTCTGCCTTTTAAATAATCATGAAGAAAAATCAATTAACCTGTTGGTTTTTAGTAGTTAGCTTGTTAATTTCAACAACCGATGGCTTGATCTATGCTTGTTACTTTTTCTTTCTAGTTTTCTAAATTTTCAACATAAAATATATTCCGTTTCAGCACATTCTTTCAGGAAGTACATGGGTATGATTCAATAGTGGTTAATAGTAAAATAATCATGTCAAATTATGTGGATCTCCTTGTTTTCTCTGCACACAACACATACACATGGTTGTAGGCTCAAGCTTTAGTCCTTGCTTATTTTTGTACTTCAAAATGTCGGTCCTGGCAGCATCTTTTCCTCTCCTTTCTATCGTCCAATCTAAATTTTTGTTTTAAATATTATTATTATTATTACTTTTTAAATTTCAGGATCTTGCCACTGCGGGAGCAACCAAGAGGCCTACATGCTGTGTTTTGGTGTTAACCAAGCCCACCAAGGGGGAACTGGGCCAGGAGGAACAAGAAAAATTGAAGGCGGATTATGAGCAAGTTGTATCAGATGTCTCTGAACTCACATCATCTCTTTTTTGAAGAATAAACCGGACTGGTCCAGTTGTCTATTAATGCTTTTTTCTACAGATTGTAGTTCATTGTAATTTACCTTTTATATGGTGTCATGTCTCTTTTGATGATTATGCTATATCTCTTTGCTAAATTCGAACTTTAGTCCCAACTACATGAATACTGTCCTTCCATGGTGTCAAACATGATACATTTTAAATTGGTTTTGGGTGTGATGGGGGGATCCAAACTCCAAAGCAGGCCCTCGCTTTACCCATGCGACCACATTCACAAGAGACTTGTGATGTTATTTAAAGAGTTCAATCAAAATAGGCTTTTGGTAGATAGAATCTTTTTGGTTTTTCGTCTTTTGGGTGAGGAATAAAACTAAGGTGCGCAATTCGTTGTTAATCTTTAAAGTATGATAAGTGTAAGTCTCGCAAATATTCTTGTCTGAAGCGTTCTTTTCTTTAATATGCACTTCTATCATTATGTACTCTAAATTCCAGAGTTGCCTATGGATGATGGTATTTTACATTTATGATAATAAACTGGAATTTTGTAGTACACATTGAGCTTTTTGAGTCAGGCTTTTTCGTTTGGCCTCACAAGTCACAACCAAACACCATTGCGGATCATGGCCATAGAGATTCAAGGCAGAGGTGGGAGTGGGATACTGGGACCTCTTCCTATCGACAGGCTATTGATGAGTTCTTGTTCATCTATCTTTGCGCCTTACGGTTCAAAAGGAAACAACACGAGGGAAAGGGGAGAAAGGTGATATTATTTAGCAATTAAGTTCTTGGGATTGGTGTTGGAGGCAATTATTTGGGGTTTCATGGTTCTTATAGTCTGTCTGATTTAGAAAAAAATAAGAATGGGAATTGGAATAAGCTGAAATGAGATTTTATTATCAATGGAGGAGTAATTGACTATTCCCTCAAATGGGGGAATGTCATTCTACTAAGGATGTGAATGGGATTCCAATTCCGTCTAACGAAACAGTTGAAATTGGAATGACCCATTCTGGTTCTGATTCTAAACCCCTATTCCCAGGAACAAAACGAGCCCTTGGTTATGTTGATTGAAAATCAAGGTAGGGCTCAAAACCAAATTCAGAAGTGGGAAGATCATAGATTATGCAGTCATGCGACCACATTCACAAGTCTCTTGTCATTTTCGTTCAATGGATGTTGAAATATCAATTGAAGGCCATGTTCTCTGTACACCAGAATAGCTAGCGGCCATCGGTAGAACCCATTGTTCCTTTTGTTTCCCCTGTTGTTCCTCTTTGCTCCAGTGATACGAAATGGTACGAGTATGTGGTTCTAACTGTTTTCATTCTCTGGCAAATGGACTGCTGCTCAAAGCAGAATAAGACCACTCAGCAATGAGGAAGTTGGATCTCAGTGTCACTGGACCAAGCCTGCCTGCATAAGAACAAGTTGTCACTAATTGAAGTTTTGGTTGGCAAACTGACCATCTTATCTTAAAACGAATGAAGTACATGGATTTTCTTATTGGACTCACTTTTACATTTTAAAATTTTAATCCCTGTGAAACAGTTCGAATTTAGGTAACAAGAAGATGGGACAACTGATATTCTTACAGTTAGTATGACAAAAGAAAATCAACTAGTGATACTTGGCAGCTGGTCCCTAGCTAACTTCTCAAAATGTTCAGATCTATTTATAGCTGCTTGGGTGGAAAGGGAAGGTGGGGTGGGGTGGGGGACCAGAAGCCAGCTAAACATGACCAGTAGAGACTGAAACCAACATCACCATCATCAAGGGAGAAAACAGAGCTATGAGTGATCCATGATTTCCATTAGCATCCTCAACAGTTCTACTTTAAATCAGGCTGCTGTCCTAATCAGTTTGTGCTGACACAAACGTGGTTTTGTGCACCAACCAGCTTAAATTCATGTACTGGTGTCGGTAGGTTGATCAAGTAATTAAAACAGAAGATGGATATATAAACCCGTTTAAGCAAATGTTGTTGTCTGTGAGAAACATGCCTATTTGCTGCATAAAGTTTGTCGATGTTGTCTGTATTTAGATTGATGTACAGAGCCATTAGTTGATTTACTGTGTAAAGCTAAGCTAGTGATCATCTTGCAACCTAACAGTAGATTTAGCGAGTGGTTCTGTCTTTCATTATTATTTGGTTCTTTTAATCTGTTGGGTGATTTTTTGTCCTAGAGTTAAAGAAGATTTTGGCAATACCTCTAAAGAAGATGTTAAATCAGGCTGTTGAAAGAACAATTTTCATGCATATGGAGGTGGTTAAGCCAGCTTCTGAATGCTGAATGGCCTTCAATTGAGAGACAAAGGTTCTGCTTAGAAGGTGGCACTAAGAAGTAAAGATAAAGAAAGGAAGCACAAAAGACTTTCTTCCTGGTCATTGCTGAAACAAAATGAGGAATGACTGGGGTGTAAAGAGAAGAGAGGGGTACCTGACACATGGACCAAATTATTCATGTGGAAAGAGTTTTGTGATAAAGTGAAGTAAAGAGCTGATTGGGGGTCTTTTCATGGCGTTCACCATCATCTGTTACAGAGGGATGGGCGGGACCCATGTCCCCAGGGCAAATTTCCTTCATATCATGTTGGGTACCATGATTGTGTTTGAGGCTTTGAGCTGCTGTTGGGCATTGGAATAATCAACTTTTGCATTACAAACATTCTAAAAATACTCTCTCTCTCTCCACCTTTTTTAATGTTGTATTAGGAAATTATAGTGAATTTAACGGCCGTGTTTCCACCACAAAAAAGAAGGTGCATATATTCTATCTTTGCTTTTAAAAAGACTACTAAAATTCAACTTCCCAAACAAGACCAAAGAAATCCTCTTGTTTAGGCCACTAAGAAGCATATTTTGCATTTGCAAAGTGATTCCTCTACTAATTTTCTATCTAGCTTATTTGTGAAGTCAAGAGGTTTAGTTAAGATGGTTTTATTTCCTATGTAATAGGAGATTCATCAAGCACTAAGATAAACCCTTCTGATCATTGTCCTATCTATGAAACTCATTGGTTGGCCATTGCCATCAGATCTACGAGGTGGGTCCATCTCAAAGTCTTAAAGACATGGAACTTGAAAAGAAAGAACAGAAAAGGAAGGGAAAAAAAGAAGGATGAAAAACATAAAAGACAACGGAGGTATAAAGACAATCCCTTGTATAAAAGTACAAAAGAATAGGATGGGGGAGGGAAGGGGAATTCTTGGGTGGAGTGGGTAGTGAGATTGAGAGACAAGGTGGGGTCCAGCATTGTCAACTAGTTTGGATGCTTTATTATGTCGCCTTTAGGGTTCACCGCAAGGCCACAGATCATGTGGGTTTGTACTAATTATCAAACAGAGAAGTAGCCCTTTTATCCCCCTTCAATCCCACAAATTGATAAAAGAATAATTATTTCCTACTCATTTGGCCATCAGTCCATCACCAGTGCATGTGTATTCATCAGGAATTCAGGATCATGGTCAATTTCTTCACTACATTTCTTTGACTCTCTTTTGGCTCCAAACCCCATCACATGTGTCTGTGTGTGTGCGCGTGTCGGGTTCTAAAACAGTCCGGCCTGCCAGTTCTGTTCAAGTGGAAGAGGGTTTGGACCATCTTTTGATGGTCCTCAGTTGTGGCTCAGTGGATCTTTTGGCGAGAATACAGAATTGTGGGTTGTGAATACATCTAAAACCCAGTTCATAGACTGTTGTATATTTTGATTTCTAAAACCCAAATCAGATTTTTGTTTAGGGAAAAGGAAATAATAACTCAGTCTGACCAAAGAAAGGAAATATTAACTCGATCGGACCGATGCCTAACTAGTTACATATTCATGTGTGCAACAGGGATGACCCAATAAGGAAGAATAAAACTTGAAGCTAAGCAAAGCAAAGCAAAGAGCATAAAAATATTTGGAAAAATGGTCTGGAGCGCCGAGTCCTACGAGCAACTCAGATGAATTACCGAGTCCAACTCCAAGTGCCAGCAGTCAATTCAAGACAATTCCAATTGGACAAGAGCCCAGTCGCCCACCACCACTTCACCCACTGAGTTAAAACAGTGCTACATGAATGGCAGATAATTGAACCCCACCCCACTTTTTATTGTACACGCAAATGTAGGTAGGGATCCTTAGTTCTTTACTTTCATATAATCTTTCTTAGGTTGAAAGCAGTCAGTCTTCTTAAAAAATGCAATTATTGTTTGTTATTCAGTAATGAAGGAAAGAAGGGTAAAAACAAGTAAAGAAGAAGGGGAAAGGACATGACTCAATGAGATCCAGCTAAGGGAAAGGAAAGAGAATAATAGAACCATATTTTGATTGAACATTCCAAGGTTTAGGTTCTAAGAATCCACACAATAAATGGTTCATTGTTTGTTGTTTTTATCAAGAAAGAGACCATACAATATAATGGAGTGGCCAAACCCATTACCCTTCAATCACTGCCTTGGCAACAGCTATAGTATTAGTAAATTTTGAATGACTACGAAGGAGTGAAGGACACCCCTGATATTTTTGGTAACTGAATTTGCTAATAAATACTAGTTATTAATTTATATAACTGAATTCTAGCGCATTTGTGGAATTCATTGATTATCAGTTCTTAATCAGACACTAAGAAATGCTTGTGCAGAGAGAGGGAGAAAGAGAGAGAGAGGAGTGGGGGAGGGGGTGGCAGCTTTTGCTTTTAAAAGTTTTTCCTCTTTGATTAGGTTAGGGAGGAGGTTGTCTGCTGATTGTACAGACTCTGGTCGTGCTTATGGAGGTTGTGGAATCAATAAAGCAAACCCAATTACAAGTACCCAACCCATGTAAAAAAAGAAAAAGAACCAAATTATTTAACGCAACAATGATCTCATGAAGAACTATTGCCTCACCAATCTCGAGCCCAACCCTCGAGATTCCAACATTTTTTAATTCTTACTAAAGAGAGAATTTGGGACTCTAATGAATGGCAAAACTCAGAGAATGTTGGATTCCCATTGGAGAAGCAGAGTATACCATCTCTCTCTCTTCTTGACTGTTATCTCCTCCATGGACCATGGTAACTCTATTTTTATTTCATTATTCCTTATTTAATAATCCAAGAAAACTCAAAATCTCAAATATACTCTCACTTTAAAAATCATATAAAGCTCAAACTAAAACCCAAAGCTCACAGAGTACTCATATTTAGGCCGTTAGAATTGACTAATCATCAAAGAATTTTGTCCCCGATTTCTTAATTATAATTTCTAAATCCTGGTTAATACTTCTTTTTCTTGACTTTAAATCCTGGAGTGGAAAAGAGTTAGAAAATTCTATTTTTTTTCCACCGTTTTCTAGGCAAATTCATGATTGAAACACTAGGAATTTTCCAATTCTCTCCTTCTCTTTTGAATTTATCTAGAAATTGTCTGTTGTCTGTTCAAGTTTCTTAGCTTTTATATATTCTTTTCTTTTCTTGCCGCACCAGAGTAGTAGGCATGTTTGTTTTCTCTTTGCTACCAAAGCTCTGGTCTTTATCTCGGGTCTGACAACAGGGTGTGAGTTAAGAGTGGTTTCCTAGCATGGGAAGCATGAGGCGTTGTTGTTGTTGGATTCTGATGTAAACCTTACCTAATACGAGAGGGATCCATTTCAGGTTTTGTTTTGTTTTGTTAACTTCTCCGTATCTTCACTGGAAGCAGGTTTTGGCACCTGGTATCTGGTTTATAGATCTCAAGTTCAATGGGAAACAAGAGGAGGAATGCTGTTCTTTGCCTTGTGCTTCTGTTCTGGTTCTACACTCCTTCAAGTGGATTGCTCTCTCCGAAGGGTGTTAATTTTGAAGGTAATCTGTTATTTCTCAGCTTATATCTTACCAGAGAAGTGAGAAATGGAGAGTTATAAAGTGGGTTTCTTTGTTTCAGTGCAAGCACTAATGGGTATAAAAGCCTCTCTGGTGGATCCTCGTGGTGCTCTTAGTAATTGGGATGGAGATTCCGTCGACCCATGTAGCTGGGCCATGGTCACTTGTTCTCCCGAGAGTCTGGTGATTGAACTGTAAGTTATTGTGTGCTGTGACATGTTAAGAACGTAGCATTGATTGTCCGACTTCCATTGCACCTCTTTTAATGAAAGTGTACGAAACAAATTGCTGCATTTATGAAAGAAAATATATGAATGAAACAGATTTTTTTGAAGTTTCCATGTGGGCTTGTTGCAGAGGGGCTCCGAGTCAGAGCTTATCTGGTACTCTTTCTCCAAGTATAGGGAACTTGACAAATCTCCAGATGTTGTAAGTTTCCAGAGAGAAATGTATTTTGAAGTTCTTACAGAGAATGAGTTTTCTGATTTTGGGTTTCTTGTGGAATGTTTTGCAGGGTCTTTCAGAACAACAACATCTCGGGACCGATTCCCCCAGAGCTTGGGAAGCTCTCAAAACTTAGCTCTCTCGACCTTTCTAATAACTTCTTTACTGGTCAAGTTCCCGCTTCACTAGGCCACATGAAAAGTCTCCAATACCTGTAAGTACTAGTAGGAAAACTGATGAACTGAAATGACTTTTTTTTTTTCCTCAAGTTTGGTTCTGGGTCTTCAACTTCTCTTCATCTTTAGATCTGATGATGGGTTTTGAATTGGAACCAGGAGGCTTAATAATAACAATCTCTCTGGAGCATTTCCTTCTTCTTTGGGCAATATGACCCAACTTGCATTTCTGTAAGTCTCTCTCTCTCTCTCTCTACACACACACACACTAGAAAAAAAAAAAAAAGATAAATAAGTGGCATTTGTATCTGAAGAAGGTTTCTGGGTTTGGCCACACCGCAGGGACTTGTCTTACAATAATTTGAGTGGCCCTGTTCCCAAGTTTCCTGCACGAACATTCAAGTAAGTTGTTGCTAAGTTCTTTCTTTCTTCTCCAATGGAGAACAGCTTATCTTATGCCTTTTACCCTTCCAATAAAGAACATTTTCTGAACTTACTCCTATTCTCTATTTTTTTTAATCTTTCATTGTTGCAGCATTGTAGGAAACCCTCTAATCTGCACAACAGGCTCAGAGCAGTACTGCTACGGAACGATGCCTATGCCAATTTCCTTCAATTTGAGTAGTTCAGAAAGTATGGGCTGTTAACTTGATGGCCTGTTGAAAGTTTATTTGTTTTCAAATTTCTGTTTCTAAAATTAGATCCTACACTAAAATTGGGAAGCTGTTTATTTATGAATCTGTAGATTGAATCTGTTATCAGTTCTTTTCCTTTTTAACTTATTTTGGTTTATCTTTAATTTTTGTTTCATGATTGTTGTGCTTTTCCTATTCTGAATTTTAATACACGCCTTATAGAAGTAATTTTCTTATATGCTTCAGAAATTTAAGGTTCTAGTTTAAAAGTTCATCCTGGTTTTCATTACTTTGTCACAACAGTTCTGCTTATCCATCCTTGAACTGTCATGACCTCTATTTCTCTATACTTCTCTAGGTGTCCAACCTTCAGGAAGACCAAGAAGTCACAAAGTGGCCCTTGCTTTTGGGTCAAGCCTAGGCTGTGTCTGTCTGCTCATTCTTGGATTGGGATTTCTTTGGTGGAGGCAAAAGCACAACCAACAGATATTCTTTGATGTTAATGGTTAGTAAAGAAAAACTGAAATAGCATTACCAGTAATATGAACTGGCTGGTCCTCTCATCTTACAAAAGTTCAATCTCTTCCAAAATTTCAGAGCAACATCATGAGGAAGTTTGCCTTGGAAACTTGAAGAGGTTCCAATTCAGGGAGCTTCAGATTGCGACAAACAACTTCAGTAGCAAAAATATACTTGGAAAGGGTGGCTTTGGGATTGTCTACAAAGGGTGTCTCCAAGATGGGACCATTGTGGCTGTAAAGAGGCTCAAGGATGGAAATGCCATAGGAGGGGAGATTCAATTTCAGACGGAAGTTGAGATGATAAGCCTAGCAGTACACCGCAATCTGCTAAGACTCTATGGGTTTTGTATGACAGCCACAGAGAGGCTTCTTGTTTACCCTTACATGTCCAATGGGAGTGTGGCTACCCGTCTCAAAGGTGAAGAAATCTTCAATATGTAAAAAATTCTCTTCTTTGATATCTAATTGAATTCTGGATACCATAATTGTATTGCATCTTAAACTTGTTTTCCTTCTACAGGAAAGCCAGCATTGGATTGGGCCACCAGGAAGAGAATAGCCTTGGGGGCTGCAAGGGGTCTATTATACCTTCATGAGCAGTGTGATCCAAAGATAATTCACAGGGATGTGAAGGCTGCCAACATATTACTTGATGACTACTGTGAGGCTGTGGTAGGGGATTTTGGGTTGGCAAAGCTTTTGGATCACAGGGATTCACATGTCACCACAGCTGTGAGGGGAACTGTGGGGCATATAGCCCCTGAGTATCTCTCCACAGGCCAGTCCTCAGAGAAAACAGATGTGTTTGGGTTTGGGATTCTCCTCCTTGAACTAATTACAGGTCAGAGAGCTCTGGACTTTGGCAAGGCTGCAAACCAGAAAGGAGCTATGCTTGATTGGGTAAACATTAAGAACAGTATAGATATATTCCTACTAACCTCGTATATTTGAACGGATTCATGTATTCAAAACTTATTTGGGTGGCTTCTTTGGTCATGATCACAGGTAAAAAAGATTCACCAGGAAAAGAAGCTTGATGCTCTTGTTGACAAGGATATGAAAAACAACTATGACCGAGTCGAGCTTGAGGAAATGGTTCAAGTGGCTCTCTTATGCACTCAGTACCTTCCAGGACACAGACCGAAGATGTCTGAAGTTGTTCGAATGCTTGAAGGTGATGGGCTTGCTGAGAGATGGGAAGCTTCCCAGAGAGCTGAAGCAACCAAATGCAAACCCCACGAGTTTTCCTCGTCAGAACGGTACTCTGATCTCACAGATGACTCTTCTTTACTTGTCCAAGCAATGGAGCTCTCAGGCCCAAGGTGAATTACTTTGAAAAAGAAGAAATAAAACAGAACAGAAAGACAAAGGAAGAATCCCATCATTAAAACTACACAAAAGAATCCAGAGGCTGTTCAAAAGAATCTGGCCTCCATCAAAAGAGTTTTGTTGTATAGTAATATTAGTATATCAGAGCACTGGATGGTTATGATGTTAATTCCCGAATCCTGGCTGTACAGAATTTGATTTTGAGATACTGACATTAATTGTAACGAGTGTTCCATGCCCTCCCAGTTGAGTGAGAATCTCAATTGGGGGATGTCCATTTAGGATCATGAGGTTGTGGGAATAATGTTCTTGACAATGGTTTTTCTTTTGTTTTCTTAAAATTTTAATAAAAGACATAAAAAAGATATTATAATTATGGGTATGGATTAGAGAGTATGTACTTCGTACCTTAAACATGAATTCCATCTTCAAGTTTATTAAAGTTTAAACGCAATTATCTATATTCAGTACTAGTTACAGAAGAGACCATCCTCAGAAATTTCCTTTCCAACTTGTTCCAGGCTTCCAGCTTTGTCTATTCTTTCAAATTTCAAACACTCACCATAAATTCTGGCCGTAGCCATATAATGTTGTGAGGGGCGTCTTTGTTAGACTGATACCGACTGATCACAGTTGATGGGGATGTGTCAGGGACTCGTCATGGGAAAGCTCCAATTTGCTGTCATTATCTTCCCAAGGATCTTTTCTGCTTGTCGCCCCTAAAATTAAATTAAGGAAACCAGAACGTTCCATGAACCATGAAATTTTACTGCCTTCGTTATAGTCACGAAAATAGGCGTACGGTTTCAATTTACCAAAAAGGGAACAAAAGAAATGAACTCATTCTTGGAATCCATGAATGGCTCCATTTCTGTTCTTATTAACACAATTGTAATTAACGAAACTGTTAATTCTGCCAGTGAGACCTTTGTCTTACACTGCCACTCTAAGTCCAGATAAAGCCCCAAAGGACGATGATTGTGTCAGGTAGGTTGGCGATGTCAAAACTCTTATGGTCATATATAGCAAATCCTATCCCGTATATGCAATTGTGACAAGGCTTAGGTGATAATGATGATGATTGTATTTTTTTTTGGTATCTTATGATTATGATTTAACCTTGTAACTTATCAGCTAAAATTGAATTTATCATTAAAATATCAATAAAAAAATCTGAAATGAATTGCAGGAGTCTTGTGGCTTTTGAGGGCGATGCTAAACAGATTATTGATCTTGTTGGTGGATTCAGTCTTCACCAATGTTTTAAAAATCGACTTGGTCACCAAACCGTTTTTGCCTCCGGTTTATGGGTCACTGGTTCGATTGTCCATGTCGAATGAGTCAGACCATGCCACATCAGTAATATATAAAATCATACATATATATTTATATACATATATACATACATGTATGCGTATATATATATATATATATATATATATATATATATATATTAAATAATGTATATACATACATATATATATACATATATATATGCATATATATATACATATACTATATACATGTATTTTATTAATAAATAATGTATATTTTTTAAATTTTTTTATTTGTAAAAAATATTAAAAATTGCGACTAGAGGCAAAAAAAATTATTTTTTGGCAAAAATAGTGGGCAAGATGCCTATAGGTCTTGGGATGCATAGATCTTGAAAAATTATAAAAAAAAAAATCACCTCAATTAACCATCCAAGTGTAAAATTATGGCCTCTCAAAGTTTACATACACATTTAATATATAACCCGTGACTCAATTATCGGATTGAATAGATCAATAGTCCAACCATCTGGGTCAGACATTTTTTGATAAAGTCAATTATTTTTTGATAAAGTCAATTTTTCAGTTTCTCTTATGTTAAGCGGCAAGAAAATATGGCTACTCATAAAATAACTAGAATGTCCCTTGGTTGCAATTCTATAGTCACTTGGCCAATTTGTCGAGATTTTTTCGAAGCCATTGTATCTTCTGATATTGGAAACTGGCATGAACCAAAGTTTTGTCATTACTCAAAATGAAGAAAAGAAAAATCATTTCTTGATGTATGAAAGTATGGTGAAAAGAAATCATATTGGAAAAATGTATGGTATAGTGCATGAACCATACTGTGAAACATTTAATGTAAATTGGTGATTAAATGACATATTATAATTGACATCTTTAATGTAATTAAAATCTTGATTGTGAATATATGTTATAAAATGTAAATAAATGAAAAGTAAATAAATCATATAATATTTTTAATGAAGGCGTATCACACCCCGGTTGGACCGCCATGCTGATGTTGATGTAGAGGACACCTGGCTGATGTGGCATGCTGCCATTCACTGAGGAACATTTACGATACATGTTGCAACCTCGGGAGAAAAGGGACACATGGCGAACACCAAGCCTAACTTAAGCTTCACATGAGGAGCACATAGCTGCCCATTGAACCTAAGCTATATCTCACCTCAGAACACACCACGTGTCCTGAAAGGTGAGGAGCACAACAGCGCCCTTCACAAGTATATAATAAGGGCACACTACACAATCTATTTTCTTTTCTTGTTTGGGGTTTTTACTGTTCAGTTTACTTTTAGAATTCTTAATTCTACTGTACAGGTGGGGCAGATGCCAGTTCGGAATTGATGCCAATTTACGGGCCAAGTATGGATGTTATAGGTGGAGCTGTTTATAATTTTGAATTGTTGTAGGTTTGTATTTCAAATCAGAATTCTGAGGTGGAGTGCAGTCTAAAAATCCCTTCTCCTTCTTTTAGTTCCACTTTTACTGTGAACAATATCAATTTTTTGATGTGATTGATTGTAACTTCAATATCATGCAGTAAATATTCGTAAATACACCTCTTATTTCCTTTATTTTTATTTTTTGGTAATTAGAAGAATTTATTTCTTACTAAAGCATTATCAAGCTTTCCCTTTATGGATCATTCTTTGTACTTAGATAAATACATCGTCTCTAGAAAAGTTGTTTGGAATTTTGGATAACCTTTGGAAATTGTTTTATGCTGCAAGTAGCAAATGAAAATCAGAATAAGGGACTGTCGGATTCTTGTCAAATGGGATTCTTTGGCCACACGACACCCATGTCCAAATTGAAGCAGGTATTTTGATCATATTATGCTTCAAATTCAAAGGCCAAAATACTGAGCAGTAAACACTAAACACTATAGAAAATTCTATAAAGATGGATGAAGATAAATTCAAGTCACTATAGTCTATAGAAGTAAACTATCCTCCCCTCTCTCATTATCATCTTTCTACTTAACTTTGTCATAGTTGGTATAAATGCAAGTAACTTACACCTTAACCATGTCTAGACTTGTACTTTAGTTCAAAAGTGCATATCTTGTTCTTTCTTTTATGCAATTTTATTTATATATTTCTCTATTATGCTTGTGTTTCAAATTCTATTACATTGGTTTTGGTAGTAAATAAATTGGACTCCTTGAGACCTTGACAACAAGATTTTGAGACTGCTGGAAGTAATAACATATTATTTACTCTTCTTATACGAAATTTATACACTTGTTTTCGTGGGCAGTTTTGAGGAACACTTGTAACCCATTTGTGCTTATAGTTTGAGGAGCATCTTGTTTCTAATAAATCTTGTTTTTTCCTTATTTATTTGTATTATCTTTTTCTGTACATAATAAAAAATATTATTTTAAGGCATTATGGAAAGACTTTAATTTCTCATTACCAGAAAGGGACATGATATGGAACCGTATTCTAAAATTTTATGAGAATGAGGGTAGGGAGAAAATCTGCTGATATGGTATTTTATCAACAAACTTTGATCTAGGCCTGAATATTAAAAAAAAATGGATTTCATTAAGTATGGAAATTCTAATTCTAACAAGGCCGTTTTGAGTAGGGAGAATGACTGTTCAGCCCACCTTAGAATTAGTCCTACTGTACAGGTGGGATAAATCTTGACCGTGGGTTAATGTCAAATCCATGGGCAGGATTCGGTTTATTGGGGGGGTGGGGGACTGTTAATAGACTATAGGGGTTGGGGGGGGGTTATAATTTCAGAATTCTGCAGTGTGCTGCAATGTACTTCTCCATCTTCCTTTTGGCTGTCATTAGCATCTAAGCCATCCAAAACTTATATAGAGTAGGCATTTCATATTAGGTTCAAGTAGCATAGGAAGTCTAAAGATGCTTGGGATTGGAATACCAAAGTATGGTGGCTGTTTCATACAGCTGAAGTGGTTGAAAGGAAAAGTTCATTGCTTTGTTTTTTTAATGAATAAGTTGTTAAGAAGCTCGTGGGCTTTTTAATGGCTCAAGTTGAAGTTGGTTAAGTTACTTTATCCTTGAATGGTTTTATTATTTAATTATTTTGTTGAGTAAAACATAAAGCAATAAGTCATATTCAATTAAGCAAATTCATCTATCATCATTCATCAGACAGCCTCTAAGTCTGATTCAGGTTTGGAGTTTGTAGGCTTTGCATGGCTATATAATGTCAGAGATTTGCCTCGATTTATGGCCCTAAAAAGAGTCTAACTAGGGAAGTCAATGGGTCTGATTTGGTATGGATTTATTTTATAGTCCATACCCCAAACTTATCTGAAAGCACATGCTACCAATCTCAACCCAAATGAACTTTTAATGAAATCAAGGTTTTAAATAATGATACTTTGCAAACTGCAAAGTATTTCTCTAAGTGGTACAGTTAGTGGTTCAACTGTTTAAGTTAAATGGATAACTTTATGATATTATAAATTGATTAATAAAAATTATAAAAAAGAAAATTAAAATCTAACCCATGATCTACTGACGAGATCAAATAGTTGGATGCTTCAACTGGCCTGCACAATCAAGTCATTGATCAAGTTAACATCTTTTACAAGTAAAATGGTTAGGGGGCTAAATGGACCCAGAAACCTAACGGAACAATGAATCAATCGGTCTGACCAATTGGATCAACCACAAATTGAAAGCATTCAATGAAATAAGAACTCCTAAATCTACCTTGACCTCAGAGGATTCAAACCAAATCCAACCTAACCTGACCTATCACCTCTGTTCTTTCTTCCCTGTGACCAAGTACCTCGATTTTATATTTAGGCTGTGTTTGTTTTCAGTGGAAAATTCATTGATGTAAAACTCAACCTATGGGCTTAAAATTTTAGTGAGCCCTTGGAGCATTTTTGATGTGATAATCGATGTAAATGTACATTGATAAAAATCAATGTATTATTATATTGATTATCGATGGAAAAGCCAACTGATGAGATGGTTAACGTGTGAAAATACAGACCGGGAATGAAATTTTACACCAGTTTATATTTACACTGAAGACAAATAAGTGAAAATGTAAACCAATGGTAGAATTTTAAGTCGATTCACATTTACAACGAAAACAAACACAGTATTGATGATTTTTCAATTTTACTGTATATCTAAGTTTTAAGAATACAAAATTTTCATGATAATCGCGGCTTGTGCTTGCATGACAATATTATGAGATATATCAATGCATCATCATTGTCATCATCCAAGCCTTTCATCTCAACCATATGAAATTGATTACACGAATCCTGTTTTTGCAAGTTTGTTCTATTTAATACCATATCCATTATTAATTTATTGGTTCTTAAATAATTTCTTATCACTTCCACCCATTACACATCAACAAAATATATATTTATTAGTAAAGTTGCAGCAACGTCGTTATAAATTGAACAGATGACAAAAGAAAGCAGAACTATGACTTCAAGTTGCCAACAGGTTGAGTTAGCATGGGCAAACCCGACTCCCGCCCAATGCAGGGCAAAGTTTACTCAACCTCAACCCCACCATAATCCCAATTAAGGCACTCCGAGCTCAATCTAATAGGGCCGAATCAAGATAAGTTTATCATTTACACCGACCCATTGGCATCTTATGTCTAATGTCACATATTTTCTTTCTTTAGCTAGAGGAAATCGTTTCTAGTTATTGCCGGGTATCCGGGTTTAGGCATAAACCTTTTTACCGTTAAAGGGATGTCCTAGGCTCCTTTCCTGTCAATGGGTTGGGTCTGGTCCGGGTGAAGGTAGCTAATTCGGGTCTTGATCAGTTCAGAAAAACCACAAGTGATCACAAATTCCCAACCCAATTATAATGGGGACACATAATGCAAGCCTAGGCCCTATATAATTGGGTCGGTTCAGTTCGAGTCCAATGGAATATGTCAGACCTATTGACACTGACAGCCCTACTTTCCTACTCCTACCTAAAGGTGAAATATCTCTTGAAGGAATCAGGGAACTCTGCTTTTTCCACTTTGAGAATGTCACAAGCATAAATGTGATTACAAGAAAGATCTGGTACCTGAAATTTGGGATCAGGGTTGGCCCAATTCATGACAGAGTCAGGCCATCAAAGCACTGTAAATTCTACATATTGCTTTCAATGGGACAAGAGTAGCCACAGTTGCTACTAATAAGGGCTTGACATAAATGCACAAATACATTGTGTCCTAAAAGGCATTTTGTCCTCTAACGTGGGCTGTTCCTTCAGGCTTCAGCTCTGGCCTCTAGCATGGTCCAACATACCAAAGCTATGCACATGGATGGAAGGGCCCTTCAGTCTTTGGCCACTCAAACTGTACTAAATGCAGATGGGCAAGCAAATGAATCATGAACAAGAGGTGGTTTATTTGTCCGGGCATGATATCAATGTCCAGCTACCACCCACAAGCAGAGCATTCATGTTAATCACAGTATAAGCTCTAGACAGAATTATGCAAAGGACACCGGCATGCTTGAAGCTGTCTGCAGCAGTCAGCCCCACTTCCTGGACTAGGAATTACTCCGAGAGCGGCCACCTGTGGCTGTGGTAGAAGCAGTATGAAAGGAAGCTCAAGAAACTATCACTTATTTGTTCATTAACCCATCTCATCTTTTCTTTCTAATTAGACAAAGGAGACGAGGTTACATCTGCTTTTTTACTGCTTAGACTAGTGACCAGTGTAGCAAGTCTTGTCCAGAAATTCACCAAGTAATTGACCTGACTACGATACAAACATCAGCTGTTTGAGAACTTCCTCCCACGACAATTCAGTCCCTTGTTTGTCATTTTGTCTAAAAGAATATTGATTGCATAAGCCTTTTTACTCCACATCTGTGGTAACGTGTCATGTAGAGGGAGTTCGTAAACAGTTTTGGGCTGTTTTTCCAAACAGCTAAGGTTCTTCCACCCAAATCCACTCAAACTCGGTGAGTAATCGGATTAAACAGGTTGGTTCAGAAACTGCTTCTCCTAGTTGTTGGGGTCATCTCTACTACCAATTCAGCCATTATAGTGCTCCTAAAAAGTACAAAAGTGTCGATATGCATGTTCTAAGCCTAATTTGTTTCCAATACAAGTTCATTTGGACTGGTGCAAAAGCATGGGAGTGCAAGTTAGTTCAATGTAAATTCTGATTTTTTTAAAGCAAAAGCGAAACAGATCGTCAACTTTTCTGATTTGTGATATGCATTTGTATTAATGCAAATGGAATTGCACGGTAAACAAACAGAGCCTAAAGGAAAAATAAACCAAACTCCAACACTCTCATAGACTCGTACATCTGCACAATTTACATTGCAAACAAATGGAGAACATCTACTCAAGGTATTCTCACAAATAGATATAATTTTGAGTGGTGTAGCCCTCATATGCTCCTTAGGCTGCATTTGGTTGCAGTGCAATTTGATTTGCCCTACTTCAATTTTGTTTTGAGTTTTACTTTATTCCGCCTCAGATCTTATTTTACTTCGTTTGCACTGCAATTAAATAAAATAATGTAAAATTTGAAATACAAATTAAAAATAAATCAAAATTTACACCCAAATCATTTGCACTACCATTACTGCAACCAAACGCATTATGGGAATTAGACTTGCTGCATCATCACCTTAGTTACTTAAGAAATCTCTTAACTCAATATGCCAACATTCTCTCAACAAATACTGGAAAAAATCATGCATATTGGTGAACAACCCCATGTGGGAGTTGGGAACTTCTAGGTACCCTTTAAACCAATCAATTTACAGTTTTAGGAGACAAAACCCTTCTTTTAAATGATCAAGAGAACTACCAAAATCTGTGATTACGCCCCAAATCTCTACTGATAGATCAGACTATCGTTCTACTCTCTTTCCCGAGCAGAAGGGTAGGCTCACCATACATGTAAAGTGATAACTATTTCAAGGAAATGTTATTTGGCAGAGGATTCAATTTCGTGATGAGAGACCCTTGAACAACAAGAACCCAAGGCCCCCAATGGCTATGGTTAAAACAAGAGGGACTCCGAAAAATTCAACATCTTCCATTATGCTTTTCTGGGTTGCCCTTCCTTGGTGAGAGTATTCACCCAGGTTCTCATGAAGGAGATTGCTGAGGTTGTCTAACTGATGCATGATTTGACGTTGTCCTCGAGCAATAACCAGAATCTGTTTATAACAAGTAAATCAGAATCACGTTTAAAACAGAATGATCGGAGCTTAAACAAAATTTAATCAAATTGCAGATGTCAGTGCAGTCTTATAAAATAAAGTGTATTGATTGAAAAAGAGACTCTATACTGAACCTTCAATGCAACATTCATCCATACCACTCAACTATATTTCAAAAGCCAAAGTGGGAGTAGATGATTTAGCCAAAACATCAGGACAAAATTCCGTTTGCACCCTAAGCAAAGGACTCCACATGCTAAAAAGAGGCTTGGTCATCAACAATCAACATCATATTTTGCAGATGGCCCATTCTCATCTGTGATTCTTTTGGGTGGGATGTTGTCCATGTATTATATCAACTTGACCGTCCAATTAAGGAAATCATTTATTGGACTTTGTGGATGCTTTTTCACTACTTAACAAAAACCAGTTGCTTGGATCACCAGCAGCAGATAAAATGGGTATGCACAGAACCCTTAAATAGATAAACAAAGATGTGAGATGTTTGATTTTTCATGGTACCTCTTCCATTAATGGGGACTCCTTAGCCAATTGGGAAGAAGATGAGGAATTGGGTAGAATGGACCCAGTCAAGGAACCGTTGCTTAAATTAGACACAAAGAGTGAAGTGGGTCCAGAGCCATTGCAGGCTTCAGCTTGCAGTGCCAGGTTTTGCTGGCTAGGAGAAACTTTCCTGATGGTAAGTTTAGAATTTAGCTCTTCAATCCGAGAAGTGAATTCATCCATTCTCTCGTTCAGTGTTGAAATTTGTTCAGAGAGTTGAGTAATGACTCCCTAGCACAATCGACAGAGAAGTTAATAAACAATGCTAAAGGTTTAGTGCATACTGTTCGAAAATAACACAATTTTGTTGAATATTATTTTCTTGAGAGTTGAGACATGTATGAACTCACTTGGTTTGCTAGAGTTGCAGGTGATTCTGGGACTCTCCCATCAATCCTACTGTTGACGGCAAGTCTTGTCAGCTTGGACAGATTCTTGTCCCTATGTGTTGTATAAGAGTGTGACAAACCACTGCTTAAAAATTAAAATACACAAGTGTACCATGAGTTTTAGCCTTTTAGGCGTAAAGATTTTTTAAGAAAAATACCATACTAATAAATTTAATAAACTAAGCAATAGGCTTTTGCGCAACCAAAGTGGGTTTCTAAATAAAGTGGCCAAGTGAATCAAACATTATTATGTCACAACAACTAGTATTGTTGTCTGTTCACAAATAATTAAACAACATGAATTCCCAAGTTGGCTGAGCACAAACAAATAACCAACCAGGTATTCCTGTCTTTTCTATTGCATGGATTAAAGGATATTTATCTTGCTCTTCTATCCCTTGATAAAATAAAGTTATTTTTCATATTTATTAAGAAAATGGAAACAGAGACAATATGAACACTCAAGCTGGTTCGTGACAAAGAAACAACAAGGTCCAAAAAATTTCCAAACAAGCTAATTTGGTCAAACACTTATATCATGCCCATGGTCTGAGTCATCACGGAAAGGGATAGTGCATATTACCTTTTCAGATGCTTAATCCTCATGGAAACCTTATCTGCAGAGGCCCGAGAAAGTGCCTCTTTGGGGCTCGAGGCCAGATCATCATCTATACTAAGCTTTGTCTTCAAATCATCTGGTAATGCCTGTGAAACAGATCAGATCAGGACTAACCAAACACAAAAGGGCATAACCAATTAAAAAGATATATGAAGAGATGTCATACCATAACTTCGTTAACAAGTTTTTCCAACTGTATCTGTTCTATGTATGTGCGAGGAACATATGAACCTTCCAAACCTAGATGCTCGGCTACATATCTTACAAATAAGCGGTCCCTTCCTTGCACCTTTTTACCAGAACCAATGGAAAACATTAGTTTCTAGATCACCAGGATTTAATAAGATGGACAATTTATAGGAAAATGATGAATAATTGTAGATGTCAATAGATCCATCTTTTAGGCAAGTGGACAATGATTCAATTGATAACTAAAAACTGGAAATTAAAACATCAACACTCCTACGGGGCAATATGAGGTACGGGTGTAATTGAACTGAGCCGAGCCGAACATCAGCATGTCTAGGCTTGGTTCGATTAAATATTTGATGAGTTCGAGTTCAGCTCAAAAGGTTGAACTTTTTTTGGTCAAACTCGAGTTCAAATAACTAATCGAACTTACCATGAGATTTAAACTCAATTGGAATCAAACTCAAGCCTGGATTATTCGATTAAAGCTCAATTCAATTGCACCCCTAACATGATGTCTTCATTGGGTTTGGCCATAGCACCTGCAATTCCATACACATAATATACATAAAACTATAAAACATGAATCCACTTGGGAAATCTAGATCAAAAAGCATAGTTGCTTAATCAATTGGCCTTTTTCTTCAACAGGTGATGATATTTCATCATTCCTTCAACTAAAATGGTAAAAGTTAATAACATTCAATAGTGTTAATCTCAACAAAGGAGATTTTTGCATGCATTGCATATGCACCCAAAAGGCATTTGAGTTTAGTTTTCTGCCCTTCATAAGATAACATCAGCTGTTTAAAAGTTTTATGCAACATCATGCTCTTGCAAGATGCAATGTTTTCTCTTTCAGTAAAGCGCCACTGCAATGACCACTCTAATCAAAGGAATTAGTAGGCATCCTGCAGGTCTTTCACACAGTCATGGTATTTTATAGGTTAACTAAGACATGCAATGTCACCATGCAAAGACACAAATTAATTGCAGGCAAAACTGATTTGAAATCCTTGAGTTCCAAATGCAGATAAATGATGGTTGTATCCAAGTCATGGTGGCATGGTACAATACCTGAACATAGTGACGATTGAGCTGTTCTAACCAATCAATTTTCACACAGACCCTGTCCTCAGAGAAGATATGGCTGCTTCGCTTCAGGATGGCTGCTATTGTGTACCCCAAGGCCATCAAACCACCAAGAAGACGCACACTGACTTCAAAAGTTATTCTTGGTGATATAATGAATGGCCTATCTGTAACCCATTCCTGAGATCAATGAATGCAATTGAACAAAAAAAGATGAGCCTCTAATTGTCACTTTTACCAGGAAAACAAATATTGTGAACAAAATTAGAATCATAGGAACAAAATGAGATACTCAGGATTAAAAGAACATGTATGATATACCAAAACATGGTTTAACTGTATCATACAATTCATATCCAAGTTACTCCCATGAAAGATACAAGGAAAATGAAAGTATTACTGGACCCTACTGGGAACATGTATGGTTCTTATAAAATACATGCTTCTATCTACCACAAATACTTAATTCTTGCTTTGTTGTATAAGGAACCATTTGGTAATAAGTTTTAAAGGATATTATAGGATCCTTAATAGGTGAAGCTGACATTGGGTAGATTACCATACCCTTGAATATTTTTATTTTATTTAAATCCAATATATTCCAAAGCAAGTGAAACTTACAAGTTTTCTGATCACTGCAAGCAAGATTAGTAACAGTTTAAAAGCAATACTGAATTAATACTTCACCAAATAACTGAGATTTTGCTGCAGAAATCTCAGAATAATAGGATTGTATCTATCTCAGTCCCAAAATGGAAAGTTTCAGGACTGTTGACTAGAAGATGGGATCAAAACCCTATCAAATCTGAACCAATCTTCAAAGCAGATTAATGACCAGTTAAATGAGGCCTGGGCGACACCAACTACAAAGTTTTAGGCTGATTCAATCAGCCAATTTAGGGAAAATAAGGAAAAACTGACCTGCTAGGTGTATTTTCTAGAAAAAAACCTATCAGCTTCGGCTGATTAAAACAGCTCTCAAATAACCTTCAACCAGAGTTTGATAGTAATCAAAATACTTCTTAAACAATCCTCTAATCACCCAAGAAGTTAATCGAATCAGTAGCTGGTGGATATGACCTGCTCCGATACCATGCCAATCTTCCAGTTTGTGAGAACACCAAAGGTTTCAGGGGTATCTAACATAGTTGTCAAGGCGGGTGCCTAGGCGCCAAGGCGCCCTTGGAGGCTCGCCTCGCCCAATCGCGAAGCAGTTATGTGTTTATATACTAATTTCTTTTTATTGTTTTCTTATTTGTTAGGGTTTAATCAACACAAACATTGCTAACTGTTGTATTAAACCCATGATTTGAAGTATCGATACACCTCTGTGTATCGGTACTTATAACAATACTCCCCCTATTTTTTTATTTCTTTGGTTTTCAATTTCATTTTTAAATATATATTATTTTAAATAATGGGTCCCCAAAAGCACTTCTAAACAGGTGTATCAGGATCCCAAAGATACAATTCACCCAATACGGGGTATACGAAATTTTGATCCTTGATTGAACCCTCAAAGATTTCAAAACCTGAACCAATAAGCAAGGGAAGAACTTAAAATTTTGTCTAATCAACACATTTTCTTCTTCTTCTTCTTCTTCCAGCTTTTCTTTTCTTCTTTTCCTATAATAAAAGTAGGGGTTCAGCCCCTACATTTTTTTAATTTTCTTTCCTTTGTTCTTTTTCTTCTCATAAAATGTTGATTTTCTAGACTTAAAACATGAAATTTATACTTCTCTTATGAAAATTATGGATAATTATTAAGGAAAGATGGTTATGGAACACCTAGGAAACTACCCTAGGATATATGGTTTTACACTTTTACTTAAAAAAATTACATCGCCTAGGTGATGCCTAGGCGCCCCACTGTTGCCCAGACTCGCCTTGGTGCCTTGAAAGCTATGGTGTCTAATAGAATGAATCGACCGCCAGCCCCAAAGAACCTAAATATACATTAATTATATGTATTTACAAAGGATCCCTTGAAGGGCTAAAGGTGAAAAAAGAGTAATTACAAAAAGGGCCCTTAGAGGGCTGAAAGATAATAGTAGACAAAGACTATAATACAACAGGAACCATAGAACTACGGTACATCAAGTGTCTCCACAAAACCAGCTATTTTTTTGGTACTCTACAGGTTTGATGGAATTAGTTCAACACTCTCTCCTATTTGATCCAAGTATATAAATATAATAGGCCAAATGACATTAGTTGTAAATGGTGCACTGTCCACTTCACATTCACTAAGACAGTTCCACCTATTTTACAAAAAAAAAAAAGGAGAGAATTCCACCTAAACAAATATGTTAAAATAGGTGCCTATGAGGAATTTAAAGAAAAAACAATTCAAGAAAACTAAGTAAACCTAACAAGGATTTAAAATCACTAGTACATATATAAAAACAAATTTGCCACTAAAACAAGTAGCCATCTTGGTAAAAATTATTTGCACATGGCATAGTTTTCAAGGCACCAAGGCGAGGCTAGGCGACTGGGGGCGCCTTGTCTATAGTATTGAGTGAGCAACATGTTTCAACATCAGGGTATTGTGTGACAAACATGTTTCATGTTTCCAATTATCTATAGTATATGCTACATGGGCATGGTACGAAGTCACTTTCATTAGTACATATAAGATCAAACTTTATTTGTCAATATCAATTACCATTATCTTTTATGCAATGTATTCTTAACTTATATACGACATTTTTTACGGATAGAACTCCTCGAGGCAGATGCTGAAATCAGATGCAAGAGAACAGTTCGCAGGTGGACAGAACTCCTCAAGGCAAAACATGCGATGGCTTCCAGTTGTTAAAGCTAAAGAAGGCAACCAAGAGAAGAGGGGAGAAGACAGAAGAAACCCAAGATACACCAGGAATAGCAGAGATGATCTTGAAGGAGAAGATGATGGCTGGGTAAGTTGCGATTTCTTAGAGGATGACATAGAGACAGAATGGGAAGCAGGAAGCCAGACCGATGAGCTGGAAGACACCTTCAGCACAACTATTCTATTCTCTGAGAACGCAGAAGATGCTACTGAAGTGCTGAAACCATCTACTGACAGTGGGATGCTAAACGAAGCCGAGCGCTAATTGGATGCCAGGTAGGAAAATCGAACCTCAGGTGAGAAGGATTCAATCCAGAAAATGAACGAGAGGCGAGGAACCTGCGGGAAGACAATGGTTAATCACCAGATTTCAAACATGGATACATCAGGAGGGGATGAACGACAGAGCCTTGGAAGTACTAACAAGGGTGAATTAAGTCTAGGTTGTGGCCTACAAAGTCATACTCTGTTGTCGACTGGTCAAACCCAACCGATTACTGATTGTCCACTCCCTCCAGACCCAGGTATGGTTGTGTTTTCGGATTTGGTTACTAATGCCCACTCTGCTCATGATGTCTGTCTCCCATATTCCAGTCCTGCTTCCTTGCCAAATACCCTTGGATTAGAAGATGATAGAGGTGGTGTTGGTGGGGAGATACAGGAGGGGTGAGAGGGAGCTGAGGGTGTGGAACTTAATAATCAAAGAGCTGGATAATTTGACTAGGGTGAAAATGGAGAAGGAAGAGGTGATAGAGAGAAGAACAGTGAGTTCAAAATAGTTGAAGGAAGGGTGGAGCAGGAGAAGGAAAGCAAGAGGCATAGAGAGGATGGAAGTAAACAGACTAAAAAGGGAGATGAAGAAGAGGACTCTCTAGCTGAATTTTTTGAAAAGCTAGGGTGCAAGGTGAAAAATCTGAATGAGCTGAAAAGGTATTTGGAGATTAAAAATGAAGCTGGGAAAAGGAGGAAAAGAAGGCTAAGTGAAGTTGAGAGGCTGAAATTGGATGTGGACGGGGACAAAGAATTTAGTGAGAGGAAGGGTAGGGGAAGAAAAGGAGGTTCTTAGGAAAGAAAGTTTAGGAGTGGGGCAGACTATATTGGAGTAATGAAGATTGTAAGTTGGAATGTGAGAGGCTTGGGGAATGCAAGAAAGAGAGCTTTAATAAAGGAGGTCCTAAGGAAAGAAAACCCAGATATCTTTTTAATCCAGGAATCTAAACTCGACAAAATGTGGGCTAGAAGTGTGTGGAGAGAAAATGGACTGAGTTGGGTAATGAGTCCATCTTGGGGTTCATTTGGAGGGATAGTCACATTGTGGAAGGATGAAATGTTGGAGGGAGTGGAAGAATTAATGGGAAGATTCTCAGTTTCTATCAAATTCAAGCAAGTGACAGATGGGTTTGAATGGGTCTTAACTAATGTTTATGGCCCTACTGGCTACAAGCAAAGGAATGAACTGTGGGAAGAATTGGAAGACATTAGAGGTCTGTGGGATGGGCCTTGGTGTTTAGGAGGGGATATCAATGTGCCCAGGTTTAGTGATGAGTGCAATAAGGTAACACAAAGGAGTACTACCAGTATGAGGAAGTTTAATGAGTTTATCAATGCCTTTGAACTCAAGGAATTGAATCTCTCACATAATAGTTTCACCTGGTCTAATCTCCAAGTTGATCCAATGTGCTCCAAACTAGACATATTCTTATTTACCACAGATTGGGAAGAGCACTGGGGAGAATTGGTGTCAAGGGCCTCGCCGAGAGCTACTTCCGATCATTAGCCAATTATGCTAAGCAAGGCAGTTTTTGGAAACAATGGTCCTTCCCCTTTAGATTTGAGAATATGTGGCTTCTACACCCAGATTTTAAAGAGAAAGTGAAGCAGTGGTGGAATGAAATTAACCCGAGGGCAAATTGGGAAAGAATGAAATCCCATTGAAACTAAAAGAGCTGAAAGTCAAAATTAAGGAGTGGAATACTCTTCACTTTGGGAGGATAGAAGAAAGGAAGTGTTTGTTCAGTAGCTACAACAGTTCGAACCAGGAGAAGAGCAGAAGGAGAAGAAGAAGAAGAAGAAGAAAACAGTCAAACATTGTAGGCTAAGCCCTACCATTCGACCATAATATGGACTAGGGGTTTAAATAAGTACAAAGACTAAACTACCCCCACTTAAGTATGGGACAGGAAGTCTAATTAGAACTGCCACATAAGCACATAACTTAAACTGATTTGAAAAGACTAATCTACCCCTCATTTGGCTAACTCTAACACTCCCCCTCAAGCTGGAGAATATATGTCATATAATCCCAGCTTGTTACATATATAGTTCACTCTCCCTGAGTTTAAACCTT